CCTCTGCCCATTTTTTAATTGGGTTCTTTGTCTTCCATAGGTTGAGTTGTGTGAGTACTCTATATATTTTAAAAATTAACCCCTTATCTGATGTATCATTGGCAATTATGCTCTCCCATACAGCGGGTTCCTTTCCATTTTGATGGTTTCTTTTGCTGTGCAGAAGCTTTTGAGTTTGATGTAGTCCAATGTGTTCATTTTCTCCTTTGTTTCTGTTGCCGTAGGTGATGTATCAGTGAAAATTCTGCTGCGTATGATGTCTGAAATTTTGTTGCCTACATTTTCTTCTAGGATTTTATGGAATCACGAGTTTCATTTAAGTCTTTTATCCATTTTGAGTTTATTCTTGTATATGGTGTAAGTTGGTGGTCTAGCTTCATGTTTTTACATGTAGCTGTCCAATTTTCCCAACACCATTTACTGAAGAGGCTGTCTTGACTCCACTGTATGCTCTTGCCACCCTTGTCAAATATTAATTGAGTATATTGTCTTGGGTCAATTTCTGGGTTCTCTGTTCTGTTCCATTGATGTATATGCCTGTTCTTGTGCCAGTACCAGGCTGTTTTGATTACAGTGGCTTTGTAGTATAACCTGGTATCTGGTATTGTGATCCCTCCTACTTTGTTCTTCTTTCTCAAGATTGCTGTGGTGCATTAGATATTTTAAGGTTATTTAAGTAGAAGGTGAACACACACACACACACACACACACACACACACACACGGCATTCCAATATGTACCAACTCAGAGAATAAATCAAGTATTTTCTGTAAAAATTTTTGGAAAAAGTACCAGCCAACAATGAAAATGAAAAACAAAGACAAAGAGGACATGAAAAGATCTAAGAAAGAATAGAACTAATAAGGCAGGAGGGCAATGAAAACAAACCCATAATAAGGGCTATGCAGAGAACAGCCTGTGCAAAACTGATCATTCAATCTATGGTATGATAAACTTCAGCAATGGCATTCACATACATGCTATAAATACTATCCATGAGTTTTCCAGATGCAGGAGTCAAAACACAAAAACTAGTTACAGGTAAGGAACAGAACTTCAAACATTATGCATGTCGACGCTGTAGAACTACAGGTGTTGCTGAAGGAAGCTGGGTGGTGAGGAGCCGAGAAGGAGGGCAGTACAGAAACCTCAAGGGCTAAACTCCATTCTGGGCAGCCTCCAATTACTGTTTAAAACTAATGAAGCAATACACAGAGCTCAAAGTGTAATACTTAGAATTATCTAGATAACAGAAGAAGAAATATGGTAACAAAATTGAGAAATGTATAAAGAGTTCATTTCCTAATCGTTCAAAGTAGTAACTTGAGTCAAGAGGGAAAGACATGAATTAAGAAATAAATGTGTAAGTACATTTTTTACTGAAGGGAAGTGAACTCTAGAGAACTGGAAATACAGGGTGAAGAAGTTATGAGCAGTAAGACTGGGGGTCAGAAGTGGGAAGGAGAACTTTAGTTTTCATTTTTTATACCTTTGTTATACTTCTAAGTTTTTATTCCTAAGTATTATAATTATTTTTATGATTTAAAAAAATGCCATCCAAAATCCTGTGTTTGTGATTTTGAAAAGTAAAAGTGAGCATGACTCAGAAGACAGTTTTAAAAGTTGCTTAATTTAATATTAAATATAGTTGATTAATTTTCAAAGGTACACACACACATGTACATATAATATATATATACATATATATGTATGTATAATATACATGTATATGTATACACACACATAGACACACCTATTAGGTAATGTTCATTTAATCATATGAATCCAAATTTACATTTTTTCTTTTATAATAAAATCATAAGTTATTGAAAGAGGCATAATCATAAAATTGGTTTCTTTATTCATTTCTGAGGCCTCATTACCCTGACCAAGGTTCTATTTTAAACTTGTAACAACATATAAAATGAGCCATTTGCTCATTTTATGATAGGTACTATTAGAATATAAATTATGACACAAAAAAGTTACTAAATATTGTAATCAAATCATAACTATATTCTTAAACTTTTAAAAATTCCTTCACTGATTTAGGAAGCTTTCAAGCCCTGTGATTACTGAGCATCACTCAGTTCTCATGCTCCCCAGTTCCCCTCTTTGGCAGGTGCTAATGAAAACACAGACTCACAGCAGGTTAAGGAGTGAAGACTTGAAAAGGAAGATTGGGGGTAATTTCTGTCCATTAACACTTAAGCAGCAGGACAAAAGAAACTCCGCTGTCTGAAATAGTTGAGAGAACAGCTGTATGGTGTTTGAAATATATAGTTAATATAAATCAAAATGTGTTTAAATTCAAAATAAAAGCTGCTGCATAGGAACACCTAGTATTTCATGGTTTATGATTTTTTAAAAAATTCATACTACAATTTTTTCAGCCTTTCAATTTATTTTATGCCTGCATCTATTTTTTTCTTGGGTCACTAAAATAAGAGAGAACAGAAAAAAATTAAATAAATATATGTGTGGAATGTATTATAATAATGTGAAGGTAAAAGAAATGAGACAAAGGAAAAACACTTAAAACCACAGAATTTATTTTACAAAATCTAGATATGCAAGAGTACTTAAGGTCCAACCCAGTGCAAACAATAAGAAAATATCCTTAAAGGAAATAATTTCCCTCCCCTCCCATACCTTACTCATTCTGGAAATAAACACCAAGCACAGTGTCAGCATACCATTTTAGAGCAAAATATGTCAATAATTCTCATCTTTTAATTTTAGGATTTAAAAAACTTATGAAGTAGAATTGTATTTTTCACAATGAAGATAAAGTGTGTTGCCTTTCAGTAGAATAAAAAAAAATCTTTTCCTTTCAAAACAATAATTTGTTTTACTTATTCCAGTTTTCATCTCAAACTAAATGAGCTTCAGCATTCTTGCTTGTCTTTCTGTACAAGCACACACACGAAGAATTCAGACGATGACTAAATGCAAAGTCATCTCCACTCTGAGTACAAACAGAAGGAAAGTGACACAGAGCTAACATTTTTCATTCTAAGACTTAGGACACTTAGCCTATATAATTCGGTTTCAATACCACTAGTGACTACAATCAAATATAAATTGCTTGGTATAGTACTGCAGATGGACAATGGACTTTATAATCAAATAGAAATGAGTTAAGTCATGGTTCTACTATTTATTGGATGTACAACTTGGACAAGTTATTTAAATCCTTTGAGCGCCAAAAGGTAAAGGCGGTCAAACACATGGCGATGGAAGAAGATGTTACCGTGGCTGGCAGGCACACCATGCAATATGTAGATGATGTATCACAGAACTGTACACTTGAAACCTAGATGATCTTACTAACCAATATCACCCCAATAAATTTAAATTTTAATAAGAATAATAATATGTACTAGAACAGGCACCGGTTCTTTGGCATACACCAGGGAGTCTAAAATGTTAAATCAGCCCTGGCTGGTTTGGCTCAACAGTTAAAGCATAGGCCTGCGGTCCCGAGAGACCTGGGTTCGGTTCCCGCTAAGGGCACGTACCTTGGTTGCAGTTTGTCCCCAGCCGTGGTTGGTCGTGCAGGTGGCAGCCACTGGATGTGTCCCTTTCACATCGATGTTTCTCTCTCTCTCTCTCTCTCTCTCTCTCTCTCTCTCTCTCATCCTCTCTCTCCCTCCCACTCTACCTGAACAAAAAATGGAAAAATGTCCTCGGGTGAGGATAAAAAAATATAAATAAATAAATAGATAAATAAATAAATAAAATGTTAAATCACAGCTCCAACCATACTAAGCTAACGGCTAGTTTATTCCACCTATAGACTAGTTTCGTTCAGGCTCTCAGATGTCCAGTTTAGAGAGGGCACCCTTTATTGTAGTAGACTTCGATGACCTCTGCTTGCCACTTCACAACTGATTTGTTTTTGAGGATGTTGCATCATTTGATTATCAGTTCTCATTTGAGGAGCAGTTAATGTATTAATATTTTTAAATGGATATTCACTCTTCTTACATATGCATGTATAAGAAACATGATAATAAAGAAACTTGGGGTAAAATACTGAGACAGATAAGATACATATGGTTTACAGACTCAAATTTCCAATTTTAATTGTAGTTTCATGTTTTAGTTTTGACTCTGAGATTACATGTAATCAATCACCCTATCAGAAACCTCTTTCTCAATTACATGCAAGAATAACATAAAATCCTTTTTTGCTGTTCCATGTGCAAGAAAAGGTTTTAAATGCATGTAAATTAAGAAAGACTAACATATAAGTGGTTAATGAGTTTCAGTCAATTCAGAAAGGATATAGTTTTCAGTTCAGATAAGGGTTGAAGACTAGAAGAAACCAGAATCTTAAATAAGGATGAAACTGAAAAGAAAAAAGCCAGAAAGAGGAGAAAAAGTGGTCAAAATGAATAATAATGGTGGCATATACTCAACTTGTGCTTGACAGTCAGATGTTTTGAGTAAATGATCTCTATTAACAGCCGCACAAGTAGGTGTCATTATCTTCATTTATAGATGAGCAAACTGAAATTCAGAAAGGTTGAATGATCTCTCCAAGTAACTTAGGTGGAGAGTAGCACAGCTAAACTTAAACTGAAGTCGTTCAGACTCCAAAGAAAGTCAGCTCTTCATCATGCCAAGCAATTTCTGGAACTTCAATCTCTGGGACATGAACACTGTGTCAGAGGGCAGCTATCTTTCCCTTCATCTGTACAGGACAGAACAAAAACTAGGTGTGCAAACAGCTGATGTCCTTGATAAACACTCCTTGCTTAGTTTTTTTCCGTTTCTCGAATGAACAAAAGAGAGACTTAAGAAAGAACAGAAGGGAGAGGAGAAGAGGGGGAAGGGAACCCACAGAATGTACTTTCTTAGTCTGAAGTATCATTTGTCTGTCTACATCCTTTAGCTCCCAGATATATACAGTGTATTTTACATAAAATTCTTTTAAATTCTAAGAATTCCAATGTCATTGATTTATTTCTGTTTCTCCAAAGTGATAGACTTACCATGAAACTTTGAGGCTTCAGGATCATTCACATTGATGGCGATTAATTTCCAATCTGTTTCACCCTGATCAATAAGGGCCAACACTCCAAGGATCTTCACATGAATAACCTCTCCACGAGAAAGAACCTTTAAAGGGAAAAGAGATTCTGCATTTACAAAGCTTTGGAGTTTACTCAAAATTCATAAAAATCCATGAAAGACAAAAAGCACTACAGACTAAAATTTAATAAAGGTTTAATAATTCAAAATAATGTAAAAGTAGTTAAAAAGCCCTTTTATGAAATGCCTTTTACAATTTAGTATCTTGATCCCTTTTTAGAAATTGAAGTTACTGTATTTATAGATCTTGAAATGTAATGTACTAGACCTAGAAACTCACCAGAACAGAAAAGAAATCCATGTACATTATTATATAATATAGCCCTCGCTTCTACTATTTGGGGGTAAAAAAAAGACCTGCGTATCGTTTTAAAGTGCTTCACAGTACCTTTTTTGCAAAACACATTTTTCAGTTACTAGTGAAAAGTAAAATTTTAACATATTAGAATATAACCTTAAGAAGATAATGAATGACAATGTAAGAATTATTAGTATGTTACAGATACAGACAAAAACAATCTTCCTAAAATGTTTTTAAAAGATTTAAAGAGAAACCAAGAAATAGCATGATGTTCAAGCAGATGTTCGATGTGCTTAAAAATGTATTTCAGTGGTTCCTTCAGGCTGTCAGTACCAAGTTTACATGCATGCATTCTTTCTATACCCTTTTATTTTTAAAGGTTTAGTCAGCTATAGAATTTCACTGGAAGCTGGAATTTGAACACGTGCTTCAGAATAAATTCCTTCATGATTCAAAATGCAGCTTTACATTTAGAAAGCAAGATATACAAAAGAAAGTCACTTTGTGTCTTGAAATTATTTTAGAGAGAAATACCAAACCGTAAAACAAAAGTCAAATCCTTTTAGAACATTTGCAAAATAAATCTAAAACCTTAATATAAATCTGTACGAAGCTATAATTTGTTTACACAATAGATTAATCAAATTGCATAAACAAAACAAATCTCATTCTCAAGGGAATATTCACAAATATATTAACCAGACTCTTAGATGTTTATATTTTATTAAGTTCCCAGCACTGTATCAGACAGTATGTATATATATAAAAAAAAAAAAAAAGGATCCCTGTTCTCAAAGGTTACAATCTTGTTGGGAGACCTACACACCTAATGCTCAGAGATCCTTTACAAAACAAAAATGTGCCAAGTTATCATATCACATAATTACCAATGAAAAGGCTGGCCACAGTGTCTAAGACAGTGACAAAGGAGATCACTGGTTCTCAACCACAGGCAATTTTGCCCTCTAGAGGACATTTGGCAATGTCTAGGGATATTTTTGTTTGTCAAACTGGGGAGGTATTCCTAGCACCAAGTGGGAGGAAAGATCGGGGATTGCACAGGACAGTCCCCTGTAGGGGAATTATCCGTCCAAAATACCAGCAGTGCCGAAGCTGAAGAGTCCTGCAGGAGACTTTGGTGGCAGAGGTGTCGGTCAGAATTCCTGGGAATCATACATAGTTTTAAAAAACACATTCTAACTTGTTTTATTTTTATTCACAACAAGAAATTCACTTTGAAACTATAGACATCATAAGAACAAGAGAAGCTCTGAGATTTTACAGTTACCACCAAGCAGAAAATATGTCTGGGGAGTATCAAGCATCATCAGAATGATACACGCTCTTTGATCTCATAAGCAACAGAAAGGGATTAGACAAACCATTGTCTTGTTATATTGCCTTTACACCCTGGAGAGAAAACTCTTAGTCAAACCCAAAATTCTGGATAAGATGCTTAGGAAAAAAATAGTAAAATTCTTATGACTTCCTCACAATTCAATTCATTCTAAATCAATTCAGCAAATTTATGACGAATGTATAATGTTAAACACCAAATGACTGATACATAAGCCCTGAAGGAACTTAACCTTAAAAATGTCTTTCGGTGGTTTTGAGCCTACTATCAACTCCCAGTACTCTACTCCTTTCCCTTTGCCCATTTACAATGACCACCATGCTCTTACAGGCAGTCTAAGGACTCCTGCCTGTCATATCCAGGACAAGGAGCACAGGCCCCAACAAAAAACCTTTTCTTTATAAGCAATTGAGTATTTACTCCATAATTACTATCTGTTATTTCAGGTTCCTAACTAAAGGAATAAACTGATCTGGCTATAAGATGAAACCTCTTTTTCCAGTTCCATCACACAACTTTCAGTTTACCATTCCAGGAAAACTAATGTATACAGCAGATTCTGTTACTAAATCTTTAGGAACCATATATCAAATCATGTTTGAAAATCAGTTGAGATTCTGAACCAAAAACATAGGCATGCCTCAAAAGTGTTAGGAGAAAATCAGAGTGGGGTCATTATCAACCTTTTCTAGCTATTATGAAAGATTTCAAAAGACAGGATTTTTAAGTTACAAATATGCAGAGTTGAATTCTTCCTCCACCATTCCCTAAAGTGACCTTAGGCAAATTACTTCACTCAATGTGTTAGGACTTGATTTCTCCACAGTAATACGGAGATCATGCCCCTTATTCCTTGAAGTAAAGAGCAGAGGAAATAGCAGACACATGAACTAGAACATGTGAGGTCCCCCATGAACATCAGCATCTTTCCTCTCCGGGCTCTACGTGTACTTAGCTCCCACTCGTCAACTACTAAGTGTTCTATAACAAAAGTTCCATGCTGATTCAGAATTTGAAGAATGGGGTGAAAGTTCAACTGGACCTGATCAATACAAGAAAACCATGGAAAGCAAAACCGTTTAAGGCCTACCATCCTGTGTATTAGGTTTCTATTGTAGTGTTAACAGTAGAAAGGCTTAAAATAGTGGACATTTATTATCTCACAGTTCCCATGGGTCAGGAGTCCGTCCAGGCACAGCATGGCTTAATTCTCTGATTATGCCCTAATAAGGCCAAATCCAAGGGTTTGGCCAGGCTGGGCTTTGATCTGAAGGTTCAAAGGAAGAATCCACTTAAATTCAGGTCTGTGCAGTTGTTGGACTGAGGTCCCTGTCAACTTGCTAGATGTCAAGCAGGGACTACTCTCTGCAGCTGAAGGCCAACTGCATTCCTTCCTACATGCCCCCTTCCTCCACCTTCAAACGTCAGTGGTGCATCACTATCTCTCACACCCCGAACCGCTGACTTCCTCTTCCACCACTGGCCAGAGAAAGCTCAGCACTTTTAAGGGCTAATGTAATTACACTGGACCTACATGGGACATCAAGGATAATCTTCCTACTTTAAAGTAAGTTGTGCTAGCCCAGTCGGTGTGGCTCAGTGGTTGAGTGTGGACCCATGCATCAAGAGTTTGCTGGTTCGATTCTCAGTCAGGACACATGCCCAGGTTTTGGGCCAAATCCCCAGTGGGGAGCATGCAGGAGGCAGCCAGTTGATGTTCACTCTCATCGATGTTTCTATCTCTCTCCCTCTCCCTTCCTCTCTCTCTAAAATCAATGAAGAAAAAAAAAATTTGTAAAATAAGTAAGTTGTGCTATATAAAATATTATAATCAAGGGAGTGACATGTTCACATATTCCAGAGATCAAGGTCCTTTTAGGATCTACCTCCCATATCCAGTTATCCCTAAAGAAATTAAAAAGTAAAAGCTACATTCAGAAAAACCTTTCACTATATCAACTCTTTAACAGAAAATGAACTGAAAAAGAAAAAAAAAAAGTCCAGCAAAATCAAAATGACTTACTGGGATAGAAAGATTATGAGGAAAGAATGATGCCTGATTTTGTTTTCAATAATATAACTAAAATTTTCTTGAAAAACAAATGTTGAAGAAAATAAGAAATAAAAATAGAAGAAATTTGGGTCAAGCATAAAAACAAAACCAGGTAAAAATAAGAAATCTAAAAAATGAATTTTGTGATTATTGGGTTTAATAGTAATCAGACCTACAAAATAATAAGTTCTAAAATAAACTATCAACATTTTGCTTAATGGCAACTATGATACCTAAAAATTCATTTGTTTTCTTTTATATTACTTATTATTTCATCATTCTAGGGTGTCTTTTTTTCTTTGGTAGCTCTTAAGTCCACAGGATTTTCTCCTATACCTTAAATTATATGGTGAACCCTAAACCAGAAGTATATTCATTTGACCATTTATACATTTCCACAAAAAATAACAAGTCAATATGTTTTACAGTTATGATGTACCAAACACCTACTATATACCAAGCTCTCTCTATGTAAAATGTAAAAGTATGCTTTCAAGATTAATTATATATACCTTATTAAAAATCACTTACATTTGAAACCTTTAATTTTATTCTAAGTATTTAGCTACTTTGACTGGTTTATTTAAAAACCTCTATATCTGGCACTGATCAGTTTGGCCCAGCGGTTGGAGCATTGGCCCACGAACAAATGAGTTGTGGGTTCGATTCCAGTCAAGGGCACATACCTCGGTTGCAGTTCATCCCTGGCCCTGGTCAGGTCGTGCGGGAGGCAAGCAGTCGATGTGGCACTATGACATCAATGTTTCTCTCTGTCTCTCTCTCCCTCCCTCCCTTCCACTCTATCTGATGATAAATGGAAAAATATCCTCAGGTGAGGAAAAAAAACAAAACCTCTATATCAAGTATTCTTATAGTGATTCTTTTGTTTTGTCAATAACAAATTACCATTACTAAGTCAAATCAATTTATTGGGTACATACATTTTCATGAGTTGTTCCAGTTACTAATCTCATTAATTACATGCTCACTTACAAATTTTTACATACATTTTAAAACTTTTAGGTGAAAATAAAACATTTCTATTTAATCTTTTCACTCACACTTAATATCTGCGTAAGAATTTAAATTAACATTACAATTTGCACTTAATATGAACTGAATGGACCCAGGGATTATGCCCTCAGAATAAAAGTTTCCTACTGTATCAGCCTTTCCATCAATGTAATGTTATTTAATTTAGTGACTTTTACTTATCATGAAATAGGACATGTGAAACTTATATATGCAACACAGGGTCTGAAACACAGAAGATACGCATTTAAATATTTATATTCTTCCTTCTTTTTAATCTATTCATTTTAAATATACTTTACTATATTTGCCCAAAAGATAAATCCCTAAACTATAGTTTACACTTGAAAGAAAGCTAACAATGTGCGATATTTCTTCTGGAGAGATGCAGGAAATAGAGTCTCACACACACAAACTTCAGCCCATTTGTCCCTATCCATTTGTAAAACCAGAAATAAGTTGGATGGGAATCTCCCGTGCAAGGAAAAAGTAAGAGAGAAAGAGATAAGGAAAAGAGGAGGAAAGGGAGAGGATGAGGAGAAGGAAGAAAAGAAGAAGTGGAAAAACAGAAGCAAAAGAAGAAAGAGAAACCTAAGAGTATGATGAAGAGGAGGAGGAAAAAGAGAAGGAGAAATAAGTAAGGAGAATGAGGAAGAAAAAAAGAGAGTAACAAAATAATTATGGTAAATAAAGTGATAAAGAATCAGAGGAAATTATTTCCAAAATAATAAGCTAGAAGCCTGAAACTGCCAATAGACATTACCAGACATAATTGATTTAATCTTAACTAGAGGAATATGACTCAAGTAATAATTCAGTGTGGTATTTCTTAACTGGGCATATGCTACGTGCCAGGCACTGAGTCAGATACTGCAAGGGTGAGTCCCATCCCCACAGAGCTAACTCTCACCTCATAGAGAAGAAAATGGAAACAACAACAGACCACAGTTACTACTAAGGAAGCACATGACAAAGAGACAGTAGTTTAACTGGTGGGGGCCATAAAGGAAGACTTCCAAGAGGAAGTGATATTTTAGCTGAGATCTGAAGGATGAGCAGGAGAGGTGAAGAGAAAAAAAAGGGGGGGAATTAACAAAGTGAAGGAGGAAGAAGGTCCCATTCTACAGAAAAGGAATCGCTTGTGGGAAGGCCTGGCCGTGAGGGACAGCAGGTGCACTGCAGGAACTGAAAGATCAGTACCGCTGAGGGCAGTGGGCAAACAGGCAGTGCCAGGAGAGGAAGCCAGAAGCAGGGATCAGGTACTGAAAGAGTAAAGCAGGAAGAGTCTGGAATGAGTGATGGTAGGGAAAATAAGACTCAGCAAGGAAACTGGTCAGTAGCAGGAATAATTCAAGTGAGATAAAATAGGGACTAGGCAAAGCTAGCTGCAGTGAGAATAAAAAGAAGTAGAACTAAAGGCTAGTCAGAACATAGAATCAATATTTCACGATTAACGGATGAAAAGCAAAAAGCAAAGAATGATCAAGATGACGCCTCAGTTTGGGGGACTGAAAATACAAGTGATACCTCGGTTCTCGAACGCCTTGACTTTCGACCAAATCGGTATTCGACCAGGAGATTCGAGAAACTTTTGTCTTGGAATCCGAACAAATATTTGGAACTTTTTGAACTTCCGAGATGAGCCGAGTTGAGCCGAATGGCGTTCATTCGGCCCAGCGCGCCTTGCTTGCGGCATCAGTGTGAGTGCAGAGAGAGAGTCACGCTTTGTGGAGAGAGTCACGCTTTACACTGAATTTAACCCTTAGACATACTGTACACTTTTATTTCTTGTTGAGACTTATGTTTTTCTACATATTATATACAAATTAGGCCAGTAAATAGGCATTTTCTGGGGCTTGGAACGAATTAATCCAGTTTCCATGATTTCCTATTGGGTTTCATTGCTTGGGTTCTCGAACAATTTGGTTCTCTACCGTCCTCCTGGAACGAATTATGTTCGAGAACCGAGGTATCACTGTACTAAAAGGAGTTAATAGGTGAGGAGGGAAGAAAGAACTCAGTTTTGGTCACTCAGTTTGAGATGTGTGAGAGACATCCAAGTGCACAAGGAGGTAGCTGAGTGCACAGGTCTGAGCTGGAGATACTCATTTGAGAGCAAAACTAGGAGTGCTTGGGACTGGACCACCAAGGGAGTTCCTAAGTGAGGGGAAGAAGTTAGACAGGAGCACAACCCTCAAGTTAACCAGTTCTTAAGGAATGGGCAGAAGAAAAGGAACTTGCAAAAGAAACCAAGAAGGATACAGAATTAGACAATATCTATGATATTATAACACCATCAAAATAAAGTGAAGAGACTGTCTCAGGAAGAAAGACAAGGTTAACAGTATAAAATGATAAATTCAAGTTAGACATATAAATGAAAAATGGGCCACACACTAAACCTGAGAAGCTCAGGGGAGGCCTGTATGGCGGCCCTACAAACTCAAAGACTGAAACTAACCACAGAGGATGGTCTGAAATTAAAACTTTCTAAGTAAAATAAAGTCTTGGCAGGTATCTTCCTTGACAAAGGTCAGTCTTTACCTTGACTGAGTCTGTCTACTGTCTTTTTTGCATCTACAATAACATACCTTTGGAATGTCAGAGAAGTTTCCTTTTTCCAGATCCTTGAGGGAGGCACAATCATAGAACCAGAGCACAGAACCCCTTATTGTTATTGGTATCATGTTGATTGTTAACTATTCACTATCCCATACCCACCAATGTAAAAGGAATATGTGTCCATCCCCTTTACTTTGTATCCAAACCCAGAGATCCATCCGCCCACCTTTGCTTTCTCTCGCTTCCCTAATCTATCACCAAAGAATTTCATGTAACCCCCTTAAGACTCCTCCTTTGATTATAATGTATAAAACAGGTGCAAAACTGCCATTCTCTGGAGCATTTTCTCAATCCCTTGAGATTTTGCTTCCCGGCAACTGTCGTCAGTTTGGCTCAAATAAGCTCATAAAAATTCTTATAGATTTGGACGTTTCTTAAGTCAATAGACAAAACCTATGAAACAGGCTGGTTGGATTTGGTTAAAAAAAAGTTACCAGGGATCTTAGTGAGAGCAGTTTCACTGAAATAATGGCAGGATGAAAACAATGTTGAAACAGGTTGAAGATGTGGTGGAAAACTGTTTACAAGCCTTCGTGTGAAGGAGAAGACGGGAGACATGTGGAAGGAAGACAATAAAGAGAAGTGACAGCCCAGCCGGTTAGTTTGGCTCAGTCGACTGAGCGTCATCCCGTGGACTGAGAGGTCCTGGTTCGATTCCCCGTCAGGGCACATGCCCGGGTCCCAGGTTTGATCCCCAGCAGAGGGCGTGCAGGAGGCAGCCAATCGATGTTTCTCTCTCTCTTTCTCTCTCTCTCCCTTCCTCTCTAAGAAAAATCAATAAAAACATGTTAAGAATAAAAAGAAAGAGATGTTCTACATCCAGGACAAAAATAAAGACAGAAAAATCCTGTCACTCAGAGGCAGGAAGGAACAGGATCTACAGCACAGGAGGAAGCAGCACTGGCCTTGGACAAAGGAGATAGCGCACGGTCACAGAAGGAGGGGGACAACGTGTGCAGGCACCGGCAGTCAGGCAGTCAGGCAGTCTGAGGAGGAAAGGTAAGGGAATTCTCAACTATCAGTTTCTTTGAGTTCGACAAAATGAAAGACAGAACATTGTGCTGGGAGTGAGAACAAAGTACGAGGAGTTGAATGTCCATATAAAACAACCAACATTAGCAATAAAAGCAGTAGAAAAGAGAACAATGGACTGACCAAAGACATACACGTCTATGGGTAGCAGCAGTCCATGAAACTGCAGGTGTTGCTTTCCCTCGTAGGCCACCTGGAAGCAGGCACACAAAAAGTACCCTTGGCTTTCACCAGTTTTGCATTTCCTGTGTGGGTAATGGGCAAGGAAGCTGAAGACAGGACTCTGCAACATTTTTTTCTGTAAAAGCTCAGGCAGTAAATACTTCAGACCTTACAGGCTGTGTGGTCTCTGCTACCACTCCTCAGACAACACTAAACGTATAGGTGTAGCTATGTGATTTATAAAAACAGGTGGTGAGCTAGATCTAACCCACTACTGGCCTATGGTTTACCAACCCCTAGTTTAAGAGAAGGAAGTGAAGATACAAAAACGGACTGATATTAGAGGGACTGAAAGGCTAGAACTCAGAAGAGTTGAAGAACTGGTGCCTTCCAGAGAAGTGACATTTTATGGCACGAATAAACTAGAACACGTTAGAGTAACACGGTCCATGAAACAAACCTTTGAGCCTATTTCACAAACATCAATAGGATCATCATCTCCACAGCAGTCTGTGCTCTTATCTTTTCGATGGGGATCTTCCCAAGTCTACAAAAAGGGGGGGGGGGGGGGGCAGAAATATAGGTTAATACTCCCTGCAATGTACTTTAATCTTATTGCATGATCATGAAGTTTCATAGACAGCCATAGTTCAAAGGAAAAGTCTCAGAAATTACATAGGTTCAATGCCAAAGTGCCGGTACATCCTCAAGCACAATAATAATTAAAGCATATTTATAGTACTTCCTCTCCACTGTCTCTCGTTTGTTTGCACAAACACATCAGAAAGTGGGTGGTATTTCCAAACATACTCCTCTTCCAAGTCCAGTCAGTGTCCAAATCCATGTTCAGGTTTAGAGCTTCGGTTCCAGGTTCCCACAGTCGGTGCCCTCGTACCCACTGATGGCCTAACGCCTGCCGCCAACGCTCGTCCATGGCTTCCTCCGGCAGGGGCCAGCATCGGGCCTGGCCCTCCGTGTTTGAAAGCGAACTTCCTACTCTGTAAATGGCTTCTACTAAAAGAAACCAAGGTTTCCCTTCATAAACTGAAGAATAAGATCATGACTACCAAAAATAAAAATAAAAAATCTATGTATATCTCATTTTATTGCATTTAAAAAATCCTCTGCCTTTTCCATCACATCTCAAGACTTTGACAAAACCATGAAGATGTCAACTCTTTAGTTTGCTGAAAAGATTTTGCCCTGTTGGCTACAAAATATATACCTGGGCACTTTTATAAATGTATGAAAGAGTAACAGAAATGTGTTGTCCAGTTTAAATATCCCCTAGGTACTATTCTTCCCAAAAAGCTTCATAATTTCCTGATTCTAAAGAGAACTACAGAAATCCTCTGAAATCATTGTCCTCAGATTTACATTGGAGAGGCACAGAGACTCTGTCATCTTAAGATTGTTATCTAGAATTTCAGATTATCATACTTAATTCCTCCAATTATACATAAATAAAATGGACTCTTATTTATAATTAAACCCTAGATAAACTCTAATACAGACAGGGTGGGGCAAAAGTTGCTTTACAGTTCTGAGTACACAAAGAGTTTATTCTTGTATTATTGTTTATTAATTATTATATTATTTGCCAAACAACTATGAACCTAGTTTTCCTCACCCTGTATTTTTCTTTTAGTCCCAATTATAGTATATTCAGGAATAAACTGACCCACTAATACAAAAACAACAACAAAAAATCAGTAAACTAAATCCAACATTTCACTACCCCAAATACTAATATTACTAGTAAAATATAAGAAGAAGAAATCTAATTGTTAACCTTACATACTGGTTACAGGTGGAAGACACTTTCTAAGTAAAACACACACATATACACCCTCACACACATATATACACATAGACACACATACACCCCATAAGAAATATACCATTGTCTTTTGTTTGTTTCAATTTTTTTTCTTTATTGACTTTAGAGACAGAGGAAGGGAGAGGGAGAGAGAGATAGAAACATCAATGAAAGAGAACATCGATTGGCCACCTCCTACATGCCCCCTACTGGGGATTGGGCCAACAACCTGGGCATGTGCCCTGACCAGGAATCGAACTGGCGACCTCTTGGTGCATGGGTTGATGCTCAACCACTGAGCCACACCGGCCGGGCGAGAAATGTACCATTGTTAAGCCCATTTTACAAATAAGTAAACTGAAACACACAGTTTAAACTTGCCCAAGCGCACAGTTTCTGATTGGTGGCAAGGGGATTAGAACTCATGCTATTAACCATTATGTCATAATCTCCAAATTTTGATAACAATAGCAGTTTGCATGGTAATTACTTTCAGATATAAACTTATTCTATGTCATGGTCTCCTCTTTTAAATACCCTCTCTTTCTCTCAGAATCTCCTAAGTATATTTTCTTGTGGAGGATGTCTCCTTTCCTACTGTTCCCCTTACTGCTTCTTGTTTTCTATTGTCTATCACCAGGCATCCATTCACGCAGTAAATATTTCCTGAGTGCCTATTCCGAGCAAGTAGTTAGGAGCAGAGATAAATAGGACACAGTCAGTGCCCTGAACAATGTCATGCTAATAAATGGCATAGCATTTGTCACAGATGCTATAAAATTAATCTTTTCTTTTTTTGTCGTAATCCTCACCTAAGGATATGTTTTCTATTTCTCTTCAGATAGAGTGGGAGGGAGGAAGAGAGAGGGAGAGAGAGACCCATCGACTGTGTCTCCACCCTGACCAGGTCAGGGGAGAAATCACAACTGAGGTGCATGCCCTTGACCGGAATCAAACCAGCGATTCTGGTCCATGGGCCGATGCTCTAACGACTGAACCAAATCGGCCATGGCTAAAATTAATCTTAATGTGCTGGAAAAACCAAAGTGGGATTGAGGTATAACTGGATTCAGAAAACCTAGAAGCATAATCCAAACATATCTGAGAAGTTCCTCCTTCGTAAAACATGTGGGAGAATACAATGTTACAACTTCTTTTGTAAATAATTTGGGAATACCTAGTAAAGTAAAATAGGTGTATAACTCATCATTTAGCATCTGACTCACAGGTATAGACCTAGAAGTATATGCCTATACATCTATGTACATAAAAAATTTTAGAATGGACCCAAAAAAAGCATTAAAAATTTTTAAATACAACCCTATCAACAGGAATACAAATAATGTTAAAATCAGCCTGGCCGGTGTGGCTCATGGTTGAGCATCGGCCCATGCACCAGGAGATTGCTGGTTCGATTCCCAGTCAGAGCACATGGCCAGGTTGTGGGCCCAGTCCCCAGTGGGGAGCATGTAGGAGGCAGTCAATTGATGTTCTCTCTCATCAATGTTTCGATTTCTCTCTCCCTCTCCCTTCCTCTCTCTCTAAAATCAATAAAGAAAAAAGTTTTTTAAAAATGTTAAAATCACACAAAAGATGGCTATAAAGCTATAAAAATAAATAAATTAGCATTCACAGATTACTGATCAAGTCTAGAACAAATCTTACTCTCGTGCAGGTGTTTGAGAACATTACCTTAAAATCTATAAATATTAACCAATACACTTATAATCACCGTGCTCTGGCCCTTAGGTCTCCGTGAAACATCACTGTACAGACCCGTACGCATAGCTACTTCTGGAAAACTACTTCCCAATTAAGCAGGATTCCTCCCGCCAATCAAAGGAAGTAAGATCTCCTCAGTTACCACCTATACTTTACCAGCTTCAATTTGGAGCCTAAGCCTCTACCAGCTGGTTCACTATTAGCAGCTAATATCAGCAGCAAAAGTGTCATCATCACTGAGATAATACGACTGAGAACTTACTATGGGGATAAACACTTGGCTTTGATCATCTCACTCAAAGTCCACAATAAGCTCGACGGGTAGGTGTAATGATGACACAGGTGAACAAACAGACCTGAAGAGATTTAGTCACTGGTCCCAGGTTATAAAGCCACGAAGTGGTACTAAGTGATACCTGGGGTCAAGTAACTAAATTTATAATAAAGTTCAAAATAATAAACACAACAATATTACATTAAGACTAAAGACATCTTGAATTTAGTGATTGTAGTCCTTTAATATTATCTAGCTGGCTCTTCTAAATATTCATTCAGAAAGATCAGGGAAGACAAAGATGATTTTTGCCCAGGCCAAACTCCTCTGAGGAAGGCATTATTGCTAGTGTGGGAGAAGTTAAGGTTAAACAGTCTAGACAGCTGACGGTCTGAAATAACGATGGCACCCTGATGAATCACAAGCTAAGTGGAGAGACTGCTACTTGAGCAGTATTCTGCTGCTTAAACGTTCTTGCAAGCACGGTTGGCTTGGTAACTGCTCTGAACAAATTCACGCTGTTACAAGACAAATCCTAAGAGAACAGCAAAAACCCACACACATCTATGAAACAAATGCAACTCACAGAATGCATTCATTAATTTATTCGTTCCACAAATATTTACTGATTACCTACTCTGTGCCAGGCAATAAGCTGGGCAGATGGAAGACATCGGTGAACAAAACAGACATAATCCCTCATGAAGTCTACATTCTAGCTGGAAGAATTAACAATAAACACAAATAACTAAATTATATAGCATGGTAGAAATTGGTAGATGTTATGGAAAAGGGGGGGGGAAAGTACGGAAGGTGGATAGGAGTAGAGGAGGCAGGGTCACGATTGCAAAGGGTGCTCAGGGCTGACATGAGGAAGTGACTCCTGAGCAAACATGTGAGGAGGCCATGTGCATACCTGGGAGAGAGTGCTCCTCACCGGGGTACAGGGACTGTGCGGGCCTGAGGCCAGCGCAGGCTGGGAGCAGCAAAGGAATCCTGAGGCGGCCACTGTGGCAGTGAAGGGCAGGAGGAGAAGAGAGGAGTTGGAGATGACATTGAAAATGCAAATGGGGCCCTGGCCAGTGTGGCTCAGTGACCTGAGTGCATTTCCATGCACTGAAAAGTCAGTGGTTCAATTCCTGGTCAAGGCACATAACCTGGGTTGCAGTTTGATCCCTAGTTGGGGAGGCAACTGATCGAGGTTTCTCTGTCATATCAATGTTTCTCTTGTTCCCTCTCCCTTTCTCTCTAAAATCAATAAAAAGCATATTTATTATAAGAAAATGTAGCCCTGGCCGTTTGGCTCAGCGGCTGAAGGGCCAGCATGCAGACTTAAAAGTCATGGGTTCGATTCTGGTCAAGGGCACGTACCTCGGTTGCAGTTTGGTCACAGGACCTGGTTGGGGTCGTGCGGGAGGCAACCAATGGATCTGTCATTCTCACACTGATGTTTCTCTCTCTCCCTCCCACTGTGTCTGAAGATAAATGAAAAAGTATCCATGGGTGAGGATTTAAAAAAACAAAACAAAATATAAATGGGACCAGTGGTGGGTCTGCATTACAGCAGGTTTATTGTCTTATTATCAACAATGAAGTGAATGATCCTTTCCAAAAAACAACTACCCTAACTTGATTTTATCATATATGTATATATATATATGTGTGTGTGTGTGTGTGTGTGTATCTCTCTCTATAGATAGATATACACACACATACACACACTCGCACACAC